AAAGATAAAGGCCATTTCGCCTGACTATTACGGTGCCTTTTTCCCCTATAAAAGGACTCCCCTTCCGGGGCTCAGGGCTTAGCCTAACAAAAAGCTAAGTCCCCGGGTGCCCGGCGCCATCAATAAATCCTCTTGTTCTTGCATCCAGAGTTCGTGGTTTCGCTGATTCCTGGGTGCGGGTCTCTTCTGAGGTCTTTCACTTTAAGCTGGATTATTATTTGTTAAAACATGATTTCAGTGTGTATTCCTGACAGGATTGATTCTTGCTATATATAAACCAGGCTGGCCTAAAGCTCATAGCAATCCTCCCTCCTCAATTTCCTGAGTGTCGGGATTGCAGGTATGTACTACAGTGTTTGTGTGTTTGTTTGGTGTGTGCATTCGTGTGTGTATAAACAGGGTCTCACTCTGTAGGCAGAGCAGTCTTGGCACTATGAAGCCCAGCTAGCCTCTGCTTCTGGTGTAGAGGGCAGAGGCAGGTTTTGTGTCCATCCTAAGTGACTCTAGTGCATCCAAGACCTATCTCAGACAGACCCGAAAGCAGGCTAGACCTTAACTTTGGCCTGACAGGGAGGGCCATGCTTTTCTAAAACTACCACATAGCTGCCTTCTATTAAAATGTGCTAAGCCATGCTTACTGCCAGGTTGAGGCATCTTCCCAGGCTTATTGCAGACAGAGCAGAGCTATTCTCTGTTACTGCTGCCCTGCATCTCCTCTTCTTTTCTTTTAGTTTTCAAGACAGGCTTTCTCTGTGAAGCCCTGGCTCTCCTGGACTCACTCTGTAGACCAGGCTAGCTGTAAACTCAGAGATCCTTTGCCTCCTGAGTGCTGGAACTAAAGGCATGTCTGACTTGCCTGCATCTCTTCTATCCTGAGGGCTAAGCCATGAGACCATTGTCAACAAGTTCCACACTGCAGGTGATTCTTCTCTATTCCTCAAAGGAGTCTGAGGTCAATTGTAGAGAACTCATAAAGATTTAGGCTGGGAGCACTAGGTCCAAGGTCTCAGTCAGGCAATAGTGTTAGTTCACACATAGGCAAGTCCCAGACTTGTTGAACCAGGTCCTTAAGGCAGTGGTTCTCAACTTCCTTAATACTGTGACCCCCTAACCATGAAATTATTTTAATTGCTACTTCATAACTGTAATTTTGCTGCTGTTATGAATCATAATGTAAATATCTGTGTCTTCCAGTGGTCTTGGGAGACCCCTATGAATGGTCATTTGACCCCTAAAGGGGTCTTGACTCACAGGGTGAGAGCCACTGCCTTAAGGGAGCCTCCTGAACTGAGACATCTAAGGACCACCATTCAGCTACAAGGTCACAGCCGTTTACAATACTGCCATGTATGTGTTCCCACAAGTCATATCTCAAGTGAGCTCCACCACCAAGTCTACCCCAGGGGCATAAGAGTGTATAAGATGCATCTTCCTTGCCTCTGATAGCAAGAGGCAAGGGGCGGGTATTAGAGGCATTTGTGAGATAGAAGATGCACAGACCTCTTCGTATGTCTGAAGACAACTCACCAGGATTTAATCTGCAACTCGGATTCAATCGGTTAAGTAAGAAAGAAGTGTGTGGTTGTCATGGCAACACCAAATTCCCCGGGATCAGGTTGGTCTCTAAGGGGGGTGGGGTGTGCAGAGTCAAGCCTCCATCTCCTTGGTAGAGATTATTGTAAAGAATAGAAAGCATTCTTCCCACTACCCCAGCTCAGGGCTGTTGTTGCAGGACAGATGGGCCAGGCTGGACCTGGTTCCTTACTCTGAAGCAGAGTCCCCAGACTGCCCACACGGAGTTCCAGAGGCAACCCTTTGCTCAGGGAATGCTTAAGGACTAGACATCTCAGGCTGTACCCTTCTCCTAAGAAATAGCCCCAACCAGAGAGCTCATATTTGGAGCCTTTTTTTTTTTTTTTTTTTTTTTTTTTTTTTTTGTCCCTCCTGCCTTTAGATTCTAGTGTTCAGCTCCCACCTGTTGCCTGGTATGTAAGCACAGCGTGGCACATCCCGAGAGTGTTGTCTGAAGGATCAGAAAACCTACAGCCTCACCCAGAGTGCCAACAGCTGATGCCCCCATTTACAAGCACCTAGCCTGCCAGTCTGGCCTCTTCCTCTCCACTGAGCCTGAAAGAGCGCTCACTGGACATTCCCTTGGTCTGTGCCTGGGCCCAGGCCTAGATAGCAGTAGGCAGAAGAGAAGGCTGCTCAAATGGGGAAGCAGTTAGGCATCAGAAGCCTTCTCTGTCCCTAGCCCCACTTCTCATATCTCTGTTCTCTTTCTGACCAGTCAGCGCTGTTGGGCCCTTAGAATAGAGGCCTAGCAACTCAGCATGCCTCTGTGGCCTCCTAACCAGCCAAGTCTGGCATGTCCATCTTTATGGTCCACAGGGCAGGGATGACTCAAGAAGGGACTTCGAAGACATCTAAAACAGGAGTGGATGTATGAATGGTTGACTTGGATATTCAGGAGTCAGAATACAAGAAATGAAACAGTCAGTCCCAATTTGAGGAGAGGAATCTGGTAGGCAGAGTTTGGGAAGCTTTAAATGCCAGGCTAAGAAAAGGGTGTTTGGCTTCTCATCCCCACCTACTGTCCCTAGAATGATGTCCATCTTCCAGAGGGATCACAGGGGTCCCTCAGAGAGACACACCTGAGGGCCCATCCCCTGAAGTCCCTCTCATCTGGCCCCTAAAAGGCACTGCCTCCATGAGACCCAGAAGACCTTCCTGCTTTTGCTGTATGGCTGTGGATTCCCCACAGGTCCAGTTAGTGCTAATTGGAGTCGGCAAGTGTGCACATGAGACAGGTACAGATCTGGAGCTCTGATGTCCTTGTCAGAACTTGGAGATATTAAGCTTCCTGGGACAGGCTATTCCCTACAGGGACAGATATCCCTTGGAGCTGTTAGTGTTGTTCAGCCTCCCCCCCACAAGTCCTCTGCTTTCCAGAGGGCTCAGACCACACACTGAACCCATTCCAGTGGCCCCAGGACAGGCAGGGCAGGCTCACTTTGGTTTCTAAGGAGTTTTCCTCACCTGGCCAGAGCCAAGGCTCTTCATTGTTCCCATGTTCTAAAGCTGAAGGCTGAGGGGTTCAGGGCCCATTGAGAGAGGCACAGAGGGACTAGGGGCTTCCTGGGAGCTCCCCTACCCATCAGTCCAGCTTAGCCAGCAGCTTGATAAAGGAAGGCAAGACTTATTATTCCTGGTTGGTGCACACCTGCTCTTCCCTTAGGGAACAGAAGTCCTGAGGCCCTTCCTAGAGAAGTGAGACTTACACCTTGCTTCCCATCCCCCACAATTCTGTGTTTCTGCTTTCAAGATGGGGTGCCCATAGGCAAAGCATCTCTTATGTCAAGCCTAGGTCAGGTTCTCCTGGAAGGCTTGGTTGGCAAGCATCTTTACCCTTCGAGACATCTTGCCTACCTAACAGGATGTGTTTTTTGTTTTTGCTTGTTTGAGGCCTAGGCTTCACATGGACTTCTGGATAACATTGTAACCTCTGCTCGAACATGATTGCAGCCTCTCTGCAATTGCAGCAAAAGGCTGTTACTGCACTGTATATTGTTCATACTCATCTGCTCACAGCCTTCAGAGGAAACAGATGGAGAGTCCTGCCCCCTAGCGGCTGCTCTGCTGGGCTTCTTCTCTTGAGGATCCCAAGGCCCCTCTGCTTTCTTCAGTGCCTGGTATACAGGTTCACGCCACAAGGACAGAGTACCAAGAAATGTGACCCAGGGTTCTTGATCTGTGAGTACCCTTGAGTCCTGAGGTCCCCCGTTTCTAGAGGTAACCGCCAGTTAGAGGTCTTGAGTAGTCCTAGGCTGGACCACAGAGTCTCGGGCCACTAAGAGGGAGGCTCTAGAGCGCCGAGGACCAGGGCATCCACCAACAGTGATGGGCACAGAGTTAATGAGAGATGGAAGTGTATCTCTTTCCAGGCTGGGATGGGGGCCTTAACTCCCCCTTATAGTCTCTGTCATCAAACGGTGACCAGAGCCACTGCCAAGGCTGCCAAGCCTCTAAAAGAGCTTCCCTGACCTCACAAGTCTGAAGTCCCACAAGGCATCTGCTTGCTGCACTATGGGGTCTGCCATTTAGCGTTTTTCCAGAAAAGGAAGTTACTTAGTTACTAAATTTAAATTTTATTTTATGAGCTGGGCAGTGGTGGCACATGCCTTTAATCCTATCACTCAGGAGGCAAAGACAGGCAAATCTCTGTGAGTTGGAGGCCAGCCTGGCCTACAGACCAAGTGCCAGGACAGACTCCAAAGCTACACAGAGAAACCCTGTCTCAGAAAAACCAAAAAAAAATTTTTTTTAATTTTATGTATTTGGATGTTTTGCCTGCATATATGTCTGTGTACGATGTGCATGTCTGGTGTCTGAGGGGGTCAAAATAGGGCATTGGATTCCCCCTGGGACTGGAGTTGCAGATACTGTGAGTCTCTATGTGGGTGCTGGGAATTGAACCTCATCCTTTGAAAGAGCAGCTGTGATTTTTCTTTTTCTTTTTCTTTCTTTCTTTTTTATTTTCTTGGTCTCTGTACTATGTAGCTCTGACTGTCCTGGAAGGCAGATGCCACCATGTCCAGTGAAGCCAGGGATCTTAAATCCTGAGCCATTTTTCCATCCCAGTTACTTAGTGTTAATTACACTAGAAACATCAGTACAACCTCACTTTAAGAATGTAACATACACACACACAAATAAAAATAAAAATAAAAGAATGTAACACAAGAGCTGGTTAGTAGTGGTGCACGACTTTAAACCCAGCACTCGAGAGGCAGAGGCAGGTGGATTGCTGTAAAT